CAAAAAAGGAAACAACAGTCTTGGCCCTGCACTTGGCATATCTGCTCTGCCCCGCTCAGGAGCTCCATTAGCTGAGGGTGGGGAAGAAATTCTTCCCTCTTTGTCCAAATCCCACAGGGTAAGCCTATTGCTGTTATGTCCCCAACTTTACATCTTTTTATTCATTCATTCACCAGACATTCTTTAAAGACTTTTTAAGGGCCAGATCTGCCCCAGGCTCTGAGGACCAGGAGTGCATTGGGCCCAACTGCCCCGGGCTGGTGGGGGCCACGGACCTCAGCGTGAGTCCAGGAAGATGCCATCCAAGCAGGGCCCATGGGGGTGGAGGACGGCCAGGAGGGCCCTGGGCCTAGTCGCCCACGTTCACTAGCAGCCTCCAGTTTGGAGGGTGACAGCCGTGACAGTTGTTCACCAGACGACTCCAACCTCACAGCCCCTTCCTGAGCCCACGGCCTTTAGTGCGCTGTGTGCTTAACACCGCCTTCAAAGAAATCCTGGAATGACCCATTTATGTTGCCTTTGGGTGTTTGTGTTAAAAGCCTTTGTTAATGATACATGTTTAAACGACACTGCAATTGGTATACTCTCGTCTAGGCCTTTCTTCACTTTTATATACACTAAGGCCCCGAAGTGGCCCCGCCCCCCAGCCCCGAAACTGTATGTGTGACAGGCACAGAGGCCCTGGTGTGCATGCGCACAGGGGTGACTGCCCTACAGCAGGGTGGCTGCATTTTGCAGGGTGAGGCCGGCTAGGGAGGCAGTCTGGAGAGCAGGAAGACCTGGATGGAGGGCCTTGAAGTCCAGGTGAAGGAGTGGAGAGCCTCTCCAGGCAAGGCTTCTCAGCAGGGACGTCCATGGTCAGATCTGGGGTCTCTCTCGCCGAAAGTTCCTTTTCTTCTCTATAAGAAGCCCAGTTTTCCTAGTGACATGGGTGACATGGGGGGAGGGAGTGCACGAGGCAGTGAGGTCACTTCTAAAGCTTCAGACCAGAATAAAGAAATCTTTCTGCCCCAAAGGCAGACAGACCTGAACCTGAAGGGTGTCTGAGTCAAGCCTTTGGACAACACCCCCTGCTGGGTCTCAGTTCCCCTCTGTCCCCGCACCCCCACCCCCAGCACTGGGCACGGGGCTTGTCCATTCATTCCTTCATTCACTGAACAGATACGGACTAAGCACCTTGTCTCAGCACGCACGATACCATTGAACAAGCATATGGGGCTCCTGGGCTCACCGGAGCTTGCAGTTCGGATGCGGGAGACCGACGACATACAAATAAACAAGACAATTACAGAGAGAAGCCTGTGCTATGAAGAGAAAGTGAAGGGTGGTCACGGGCAGACTGGGGTCGCTGAGGAAGTGATATTTGAGCTGTGACCTGGACACCAAGAAATAGGTGCTCAGGGATAGTTTGCTGATGGTGATCAAGGCAAGCCAAAGCTACTCTTTGTTGGTTGTTGTTTTTTGCTCCTTTCCTATACTGTCCTGGCGGGGAGGAAGTCACTCTGCAGCCCACACCTAAGGAGTGGGGAATTAAGCCCCACCTCCTTGAGGGCAGTGGTCACCGAAATTATTTGTAATTCTTCCGCTCAGGAAATTTGTCTATTCTCCCATTTTTACCAATAACTTTAACGCTGACTCTTTTACTTTGTAGAAATTCAAGAACCCCCACTGGTGTTTCTAGGAACCTAGAAATATTTTTTTTCAACTACCAAAATGCATGAAATTAGCAAGGCATTAAGTTGGAGGGTAGGAAAAAAGACAATCATTTCTCATTTTTTCGACTGTCAATACACATTAAGAAGATTTGGGAAATACCCAAAACAGAAGAACCTCTCACGTCCCACTGTTCAGAGATGCCTATTATTCACATTCAATGTGTTATTTTTAATTTTTCTCCTGTGCACGGTTTTTGCCGATTAACTGTCAATGTTAATTTTCTCGCCTCTTGCCACCTTTTTATCATATCAAAAACATCTCTATGTTGCTATACAGACTTCATAACCCGACTTTTTCAAGAGCTGCTAAATCACAGTGCCCCCCCCAACCCTGTCGCCAAACTTAGCACAATACCTGGCCCACAGTCCCCGTTTACAAATTGGTTGTTAAATGAACACACAACAAAGTAATCATTCTCTTGTTAGAAACGTAGATTATTTCAGTTTCCTTGATTCTCAATAATACTGAGACAAATAGATTATTCCCTTAGGATAGCGTCCCAGAGGGGAATTACAGGCCAACAAGGCCAAAACTTTTCAAGATAAATGCACCAAACCAGAAATCTCCCTCCCCTTCCCCTCGGAACCCCCGGCAGTTGTGCCCAGGGTAATAATTTACAATTGATTAAAGAGTTTGCGGGGTGTGTTTTTTCCCCCATCTTTCCCCCCCTTCCTCTCCCCTCTCCCCTCCTGCCAAAAAGGGGGGAAATTATCTGAGAAGGTGAAGATGTTCTCAGACAATCATATTAACATATTCCAACAATTGCAATTTGCAAAATAGTAATCACAACTCCCGGGCTCTGGGAGGCATTAATCAAAGCTGCAGGTTTAATTCCATTTTAAATATTGATGAAACGTGCTTCGGCAGCCTCACCCTGGCGTGGCGGGGCCAGGGGAGCCTCGGCGTAGCGCAAAGGAGGTGGAGGGAGGGTTGGTGAGCAGCTGCTGGGAGGGGAGGCATCTGTGATTCAAATTGGTGGCTGTGCCGCCAGGTAGAGAGCGAGAGGGGTAGTGAAGAGGCTGTTAAGTCCATTGCTGTCAATTTGTAATGATCAGGGAGGGGCCTGAGGGCTGGTTTAGCACAATAAACCCAGTTTGTCTGGTTTCAGGGGTTAGCACTGAAGAGCTTGCAGCTGCACTGATTCGAATAGCCCAGAGACTTCAGAACTGTAATTATCAACCAGGCTGCTCGCGGTGTGGCAAAAGTGGGCTTCACCAGCGCTTAACTCCTTGTGTGCTGCCGCTGTCCCCGCCCCCGGGGTTGACAGCCACGCGTGGATTCCCCAGCAGCCTCCCCAGGAGGAATTGAGGCCCACCAGCTGCCCAGGGCAGTCCTCGAAGGCAAGAGCGTGCCAGGCGTCAAGCCTCTTTCCTGGGGTCACATACAAAGGAGTAGTGGGGAGGAGGCCAAGGAGGCTAGCTCTGTGGGGGCAGCCTCGCCTTCTGGCGCCCTTGTCACATCAGCCCTGGCGGGGGGAGGGGGGCGTCAGGCTTTGCAGTCTGATGGGCCTAGGTTTGAATTCCACTGGCTGTGGAGGTGAGGCAAGGCTCGTCACCTCTCTCAAATGGGGGTAACCTCCCCTACCCTCCTGGGCTATCACAAAGACTCCACAAGACGGGTGTTTGTAAAGCTCGGAGCACACAGTAGGCTGTCAGTAAGGCTCCATCTCTCTGAGCCTGGGCCTGGTGCTTTCCCAGAAGAGGAAGGGGGCAGGGGGATCTGATTGGGAAGGCAGGATTTGGGCTGGCCCTCCATGTTTGAGCTCTCGGGGGTGGGGTGCCCTTGATCTCTGGCTACCGCCATGTGTCCCCGAGGAGAACCCGTAGTCCCGTGCTCCCATCCCTTAGGCGGAGGCAGGTCAGGAGAGGACACTAAAGCCGTTCCAGGGTTGTAGCCCTGAGGAGAACAGCTTGAGGGCAGGGGTTTGGGCTAGTTCTCTTTGTCCCCAGGGCCTGACACAGAGGTGAGGCAGGAATGAGGCAGGGACAGCCTAAGAACTCAGGCTTAGCTGGGAGCCTTGGTTCACGAAGCGCGGGTGCGACTCTGAGACCCTCCCCCTCGACGTTCTCCCAGGAGTCCGGGAAGGGGTGGGCCCAACAACGTCTGTCCTGGCAGTATTTCTGGTAACTGGAGGTAGCACCCTTGGGTGTCCTGCCCCGGAAGGGCGGATAGTAAAACATCACAGGGAAGCCACCACAGAGTATTAGGCAGCAGTAAGAGGTAAAGGACTAGATGTACATTGAGCAACAAGAATAGATCTTGAAAATGTAGTGTTGAGTGAAAAAAGTAAGACACAATGAAATTCACAGCACAATGCCATTTATGGTGGTAAATTAAAACCACATTCGCACACAAAGCAACAGCACACATTTTACAGAGCTGCATGCATTTTTAGGGGTATATATCCCACCATTCAAGTGGGTCTCTGTCAGGGCTTGGGGAGGGGCTGGGTGTGGGTGTGGGGGATAACGGGGGAAAATAAGTCAGTCCCCAGAGAGATGACTGTGGTGTGGGGGATGGGGGGGGGGCAAAGACCGTGTTTCACTCCCTCTCTCCGAGGTTTAAAAAAACAGCACAAGCTTTGTAGTCAGACCAACCTGGGTCCACATTCTGGGCTCTCCCACGTACTAACCTGTGGCCATGCGCCGGTGACTTGACCTCTCTGAGCCTGCTTGTTCATGGGCAGAATGGCAGGATTGCTGCCTGCAGGTGCTCACAGGGGTTAAAATGGGGGAGATCAAGGAGCACAGGGCTGACAGGAACATCAGTTCCTTCTCTCTATTCCCCACTGAAAGGACCCGAGTCAACAGAGGTGTCAGGTTCCCCTGGGGAGCCACAGGTTCTTAGAAGGGTCTACAATGGGAAACCCAGAAAGGAAACGAAGAAGAGCTGAGGGCTCCGGCCCCTGCCACTACCGGCAAGGCCTGGCCTGGCTGTTCTGGGAGGTGCCCTTTGTGGGTGTCAGACGGGGCAAATGCCCGAGCAAGCTGCTCTCTGGGTGCGTGTCGGGGCTGCCCGGCTCAGAGTGGCCAGATGACCTCGTGCCTGCTTCCATCGGTGATATCCACCATCTGCAAACCCCTTTGTGTTCAATTTCCCCCAAGACCAGGCATTCGCAGGCAACTGAAGGATTCGGGTTTTAGTGAAAGATCTGTTCCTTCCCAGCACAGAGCTAGCCTGGGCACCAAGGCCACACCCCTGTGCTGGAATGCACCCCAGTCCCAAGACCCCACCTGCGGGTCTCCCAGCCCAGAGAAGGCCCAGCAAACACCAGGCATGATCAGCTCTTCCTCTTCCCCTGCAGATGATGATGAGCACGAGTGGATCATCAGGACGTGTCGCAAGGGATGGGACGAGATTGTGGGTCACCGACCCAAACTGTGAGCTCGGCTGGCGGAGGTTTCCTCTAGACTGTTGGCCGTGGCCATGGCCGGCCCTGGGGGCAGCCTGCAGTTCCAGACCCTGGCTTTTAACTCAGGAATAAAGCCTTTCTGCTCTGAGTGGCCCTAAGTGTACTTTCCTGAGATGGTTTCTTAGGGGATCCTCATTTCACCGGCATCAAAATCACCTGTGTATTAGATATATCTGGACCCTACCCTAGACATGCCAACCAGAATCTCTGGGAATGGGGTCTAGCAATGTGCATTCCCAGCTGCCATTCCCTGATGCATTCTTATTTCCCAGGTATTTCTCAACATCACCCCCAAGATCAAGTGTCAGCTGAAAACCAGAAGAGGAAGGGGTGACATGTTCTAGGGCCATACTTGGGCCACAGGCATCCTGGCCTCTGCATAACCGTCCCTTCATAGAGGCTGCTGGATCCCGCAGCCCATCCCACCCCCACCCCCCCATGCTTTGTTCCTGATTCACCAAGAGCTGCCAGGAGAAGGCGGGCCTGTGAAGGCTCTGACAAGGTCTGCAGGGGCAGGAAAGTGGCCCTCAAACCAGTGACCCGGAGTTGGCAGGCTAGGCAGAGTTAGGAGTCAGAGGGTGGCCTGGGCACACTCAGCTGCTCCATGGAGGGATCCTGGGGGGTTCCCCCTCCCCTCCAGGGCAACATCACCTCTGTAGAATGACAGGGTTTATCTCCACAGGGGTTTCCAAACTGTGCTTTGAAAACAGAAGGCACATTCATGTGAAGAAGCACACACACACAATTAAACTAAGCTAAACTATTTTTGAAAGATACACATATATCTAAATCAACATTTGATAAGTGGATTGGAAGAATGGAGAGGGGAAGGGCAGAGACAGGGCCAGGGATGGCAGATGAAACAACTAATAAAGACAGGGGCCCTGCAGAGGTGAGGACCATGTATACCCCGAGCTGAGGTTTATGAGCAACTCTGTGCAGGGCCAGGCAGGGCCACTCCACTCCCCTCGAGAGCTTTGACTTGAACCAACAGTTCTGCTGCTAAAAGAAAAGTGGCCAATGAGCAGAAAGATGTTCTCTCTCACTCCCCAGATTGTGTGGTGGCTCTGGAACCCAGTAAGGCCCAGTAGGAGACCCAGACTTGTGTCAAAGCTGGAGCCTTGTCTCCTTGTCTCCCTGCCTCCCATCCCATATTCCCATCCCATATTCCCTTTACTTCCCCAGACCAAATTCTCCCACATCTTCCAAACAGGCTCCCCTGCCCTTCCCCTCCCTGGCCCCCCAACATCTCATTTTTGCACCTATTCTGTCCCCCACCCCGGCCCCCACAGCAAGTTGGAGGGATCCTACTGTTACAGCATTGGCCAGACTGAGAGCTCCTCTTGGGCTGGTGGGCTGGGCCCTTCTCCAAGCCTGCAGAGCCAGCGTGGGGCCCAGTAGAAAGTGTTTGCTCAGGACTGATATGGAGCACAGTAGCCAGACCGACTGCCTGCAAAGCTTTGATTGAAGAAGAAACTCACCGTCCTGCCTTGGCAGCGCGTGGTTGGGTTTAACTGGGTCCAGGAAGGGGGACTGCACTGTCTAGCAGCCCAGAAGCCTCGGGTGCCGAGGGCCGGAGCCCTTAACCAGAGAGCAGGAAAGAAATGGAATCCCATCGCGTTCTGGATTTAAGTGCCCGCACTTCTACTTGCATTAACTTTATTTATTACACAAATAGGACATTTACAAAGCACAACATGAAAGGTATGTAACAAAACAGACATTGGTTTTACAAAAAAGTGCTTACAATTTTTTTCCGTGTGTGTGTTTTCTCCCTCTGTTTTGTATTTAAATAAATAGTCTTGGTGGCCTGTGCGTTCCCAGGCTGCTCTAACAGGCTAGTGGAGACATGTCTGAACGGCAACGTGCTACAACCACGTGATCCACGCAAAGAACAGACCCTGGGGGAGGCTCAAGGCAGAGTGGGTACTCGGTGATCCTGGGCAGGGCTCGGCTGGCCACTTACCACATGGCTGTTGTGGTCGGGGCTTCGGTCATCAGGAGCAAAAATCAAAGGAAACACAAGAGCTCCCCAGTCCCCAGGAATCAGGCCCGAGTTCCTCTTGTGAACATCGGCACCCTGCACACGGCCAGGTACAAGCTACTCACTGGAGGAGCTCTGAACCGAGCCACCACGGACCGCATTCTGGTGCTACCTTCTCTTGGCCCTGAGTCCCCTGGAACTGTCTTTGGAAGGGAAAGGAAGCAGGTTCCCTTCTTGGGCTACACCCGTGCCTCGCCCTCCTCCATGTCCCAGAGCAAGAGAGGCATATAGGTTTTCATTTTTAAGTGCCAACTTCAAGCATTTGGATTCCGAAACCTGATCCAGACTCCGAGAGTGATACAAGAGTGATAACGATCAATCAGCGATGTCTACCACGGGCGAAAGCAGGGACAGCAGATACATATGTGCCATGAACATGCTTTCCCCGTCCTAGAGTCTCCTTCCAAAAGCAATGCATCAGGCTAACCGAAGCAAGAGGGAGGACTTGGGCTAGAACATGCTTACTAGCAGCCTCTAGTGGGAAATGCATCAGGACACCAAGTAATTCTGAAATTACAGGATGAGCTTGGGACAAATGGGCGTCCCCTGAAAACATAAATCATGGTCTTGTGTAGCCCAAGCCCTTTCGTTTGGGGTGGAAGAGTTACAGCAGAATAGGGATGTGAGCACAGCTGTGTCTGGCCTCCACTCTCCCGAGTGGGTGTGGCTGGCTCCGCGCAGGGCTGGTGGGGAAGCCCCCACGTGCCCCCCTGGAATCCTGGGCTTGGCACACTCACCTAGGCAGCAGGCACCCTCTCTCTACTCAGAGATGGGTCCAGAATTAGCATTCCTACTGCCGTTTCCCTGGGCTCTGTTTCTCCAGCTGCCCCCATGATGGCCCCTCCAAGGAAGACGTGGCCCGAGCAACCCTATCAGGAGTCAGCAAGTAGCCAGCGAGGGCCGCCGGTTCTAACCCGCGCAAGCGTTCAGAAATGCCGTCGTGCATATCAAACAGCATCTCTGCCACGTCTCCTATATACATGCTGGGTTACTAGGTAGGAACAGTCTCCCCCCGGTACACACCCCGAGTCTTCTCTTTCCTCTCCTTAAAAGAGCTAGTGCCTCCCCCAGCCCAGCATACCACATCCTTCTCTGGTGGGAGTCCTAGCCGCACCCCCCACCCCAGCCCCTGCCTATCCCCCTGCCTCTTGGTCTGGGCAGGCCTCCATCTCTGCCCTGTTGGGCCTCTCAGGGTTGGTCAGTGTCTCTTCTCTCTCTGAATTAACTTGACATAACCAGACAGATGGAAATGATAAAATTAGAACATAGCTTTCCTTTGGGGACATCCCACAAACACTGTAGAGTTTTCCAGACAAAAGCAACAGAGTGGATAACATTGGGGGTTGTCGGCTATTCAGAATTCAGAGATGGTTGCAAGGAAGTAGTAAATAAAGGCCAATACGGGAAGAAAGAAAACCTGTAAATTAGAAGGCTGTTGGCATTGCACGATTCAATTTGGCCTTTTGCTATCGTAATCAGCTCAAGTTGAAGATGACTCCTGTCTAAATGGAAAAACAGGCCGTTGTTTTCACCCAGATTCCAAATTTCAGGGAGCTCTGCCTTCTGAGAGGAGGACCCCGCAGTGCTCTTGGCAGGTTCTAGTTGTCAGCAGGAGAAGGGAAGGCCAGGCCCCGGGGGCCTGGCTGGTGGCAGTCAGGACGGCGGGTGAGGGGTGGATGCGGAGCGGGTGGATCCCTGGAAGTGGGGCTCGGACACCAGCTTTCAGCGGCTGCGGGGCAGCTGGGGGGTGCCCGTGGACAGATGCACCAGGGCCGGCAGCGTTAGTACTGAAAAAGGATGACCTGCAAGAGGAGGGCGAGGAAGGTGGCTGAGTTGGGGGCCTGCCCCACCGGGTGCCCCCCCCAGCCCGCCCAGAGGTCCTGGAAGGCGTGGAGAATGAGGGGCGCTCAGGGCCCAGATCTGGTTTCAAATCCTAGCTCTGCCACTTACTTGCTGTGAGACCCTGGGCAGCTCACTGCACCTCTCTGAGCCTGTTTCCTCATCTGTAAAGCGCGGGGGGGGGGGATGACAAAACCTCTCTTTCAGAATGCAGAGGCTTCAGTGAGATCCGAGAGCAGCAACACATGTCTGCGGGGCCCTGTGCCCTGTGCCCAGCACCGTGTGAAGTGCCTTACTCACGTTATGTGACAGAAGCCTCAGCCCCGTGAGGGTGTCCCGCCATTATGCCCATTTGACAGGGAGGGCACTGAGGCTCAGAGAGGTGAAAATCAGTAAGCCCGGGATCACACAGCTAGGAAGAGGTGGACCCAGGCCTGGCCCCAGACTACGCTCTCTTTGTTGTAACACATTGCCCTCTGCCTCCGCAAGCCACCAGGACAGTCGTCACCGACACTCGCTACACCCCGGGCAATGGGCCAAGCACTTCACTCGATCTTCACAAAGCCGAAAGGCAGCCAGGTGCCTGACACACTGTGGGTGATCAGGAACGCCTGCCCCTTTCCCTTGCCCTCTTCCTCCTAAAGCACAGGACTGGCTTCTCATCAACCCCCCCCACACCCCACCCCGCCCCAGTCAACTCCCTGATGTTCAGGTCAAGGATTACTGGCTGGCTGGTCAGTGGGAGGTGCCTCGTCACAGTAACATGTCAGGAGGCCCTTTCAAGTGGTCTGGGGACATCCAGTGGGCATGGCCATATGGCTGTTCCATTTTCTGATCAGGAATGTTCCTTGCCCAGAGGGTTTACTGTGAGGAGAACCTGGAGGAAAGCAATGGTGACGCTCTCCATAAGCATAGTCACAATAACCCACATCTACGAGCCCACTCTGTGAACCACGTGCTGTGCTAAACGCTTCCCATGTGTTATTGCGTTTGCTCTCGGCAACAACCTTTGGGGGTGGCAGTTGTTATTATCCCCATTTTGTGGGTGTGGGAATGGAGGCTCAGAGAAGTGGATTGTGTTCCCACGTCTCACAGTGAGAAGGGGACAGAGCTGGGATTCAGAGATGGCCTGACTCCAGAGCTCACACCGCACCGTCTCATCCAACCTTGGGCAATGCTCTCTGACCGCTGGGATGCTGGGCTTT